AGTTCATCTGGCTTCAGCACAGAGTTTAGGAGCTGGAGGCTGAACTACAGACATTGCATTGCATCAGGAACAGGGAACGTTATGTGGACTCTTTATACCAGAAAGCAGTCACATCTCCTAGGACAGGATTTTCTGTTTTCCTCAATGATCAAGTGCAGGCAATTGTGACTGAGAGTCAGGCAGGTAAGGGAATCCAGAGGGTAGGATTGCAGGTGCATCAGCTTCTACCATTGTCCAGTCAGTTTGAGGTTATCTCGGCCTAATTGAAATTGAGTAGAAGCTACAGGATGCATGAGCAAACTGACCATGTTACCATGGTACATCAGGTATTCAAGTGGGGTAAATGAGAGAGAATGTAGTGGTAATAGGTGCCAGTATAGTGATGGGATTGACACCATGTTTTGCAGCAAGAAGCATGAGTCCAAATGTCTGTTTTGTCTCCCAGTGCCAAGATTTGAGATATCTGCCAGGGTTGGAGAGAAACTTACAGTGGAGGAGGGAGAATTCGGTTCTTGTGTCCATGTAGGTACCAAGGATTGAGGTAGAATAAAGAAAGAGCTCTACACAGTGGAAGTGAGGAGCTAGGCACTAAATTAGAAAGAACCTCTAAGAGTGTAATCACTGGATTATTTTCTCAGCACCATACACAGTGCATCCATAAAATTAGAGAGATGAGTACACATTTCAATCATGGTTTGGGAGAATTGGATTCTGGTTGATGGGGCACTAGCACCAGAAGTGGGGATAGTACCATTAGAAGGATTTATACCTGAACCATGATGAGGCCAGCATTCTTGTGAACTACATAGCCATGGAAATACAGAGGGCTTTAAATTAAATAGTGCGGCAAGAGATCAAATGTGTAAAGATGTGATTTATCAAAGAGTTAAAAGGATTGCAACAGTATAAAAAAGGAACATATTAACATGGGAAATGAAGGTAAGAAAATGGTAAGAATTCTGAATTGAACAGCCAAATCTAATAACATCCCTCTTCCTGATTATTAGGGAATATTTCCTGGTTGTAATTGTGGCTGGAATTATTAGTCGAGAAGAGAGATTAGATTCTATATTGATTCTTCTGTTATTCATAGTCACAGAATCATTATGTTCTAGACAGTGGCTGTCTATCCTATTGTGTCTATTCCAGCTCATCGTACAGCAATCAATGAGTGCCATTTCCCTGCATTACATTTTCGGCTGCAAATTTATTTCTTTCAAGTGCCCATCCAAAGCCCTTTTCAAATCATTGATCAGCTATGTATCAACCATCCCTATAAGTGGCAAATTCCAAGTCATTACCATTTGCTGTGCAAAACAGTTCTTTCTCACATCCCTCTTTTTCCTTGTACCATCAGCTAACAGAAACAGTTTATTTATCCAATCTCCTGTCAATGCGCTCTGCTTCAAAGAGAACAGCTGCAGCTTCGCCAAGCTATCCTTGTAGTTAAGATCTCTCATTCTTGGTAATCCTGTTGAATCTTCCCTGCGCCTTCTTATGGACTTCTGCATCTTTCATAATGTGCAATGACCAGAACCAGACACAACACTCAAATCGTGCTCTAACCAGTATTATAAAGGTTCAGCATAGCTTCCTTGTTTTTGAACTCAATACTTCTATCTATGAAAATGAATGTCTCCTCTGTTTCACGAGTCCACTCCGAAGGTCGCTGTAACATAGCTAGCAAACTCGGGAGTACCGTTTGCATGTTCCCTTCTCCTGTCCCGGCAGAAATAACTGGAGATGGGAGCCATGAAATCAGGTACTGTGAGTCATTATTTTTAAAGACCTCCTGACTTTGCCTGACAAAAACCAGGAATGAGAATTTCCTCCCAAACATTAGTGTACTGTCTGTACCAGAACTCAGACAGGTCAGGGACCAGGCCAAATATCATCTTCCCTCAGCAGCTTGAGACATGAACTAAATGATATCTTGACATTCCCTTGGTTCTATAACCACTGCTCTTACATGTTTAGAAAAAAGTTAATCACATTGTTTTTTATTCTTTTTGTCTGTGCCACCTACAGTCCCATCTTGGAAGGAATTCGCCAGACCAGTTCAACAGACTCATTTCATATTAGAAACTAAAACAACCCTTTTTCTGAATCAGCAGTGTTGTATCACATATTCCACAGACAAGCAAAGGAGTCACGGGCTGTAAAGCGGGGCATAGTTCTTTGATGAATATCTTCAATTGGAACTAGAGCAACATAAGCATCCCACAATTGATGTAAAACACTACCACCTCCTCGCTGAACTTTTCCTATCGACCAACATGTAATTATAGCAAAAAATACTATTGTTAGCGAGAAGAGAAAATAAACTAAATTAATATTTTTGCAATTTACATCCGCAGACTTCCTGCATACTGCCTCCACTATAAATTTAAAATAAATCAGTCTATTTCAGGAGCATTTCAGTCTCATCATCAGTATAGCCCAGGACTGATATTATAGTCATAATTCAACTCTGGGCTGGAAGTGAAACAAACCTGCCTCATCTTAGCAGCATGAAGCCTGGAAGACGTTTGGAAGGAATTTACTGAGCTTTGATATTGAAGGGCTGTATGAAATTGGGAGAAGAGATTGAATCTTTATGTATGAAAAATAGTATCATCGATAGTCTGAATGCAGTAGAGGTGGGCATAGCTGATGCTTAAAGGTGGAAATAATTGAACTTGGTGCTGGATAGGATAATGTGTTTAAAATATAGCTTTAAACTGAACAGAAATTAAGGTTCCTTCAATCCTAATTGAGGCCCGATGTTACTAGAACCCAAAACATCTCATTGGGGGAAGATTTTCAAGGCCCAGTGAGGGTGGGGTACAAGGTGAGAAGGCGCAGCGTTTCCTGCTGCTATCCCACTTGCCAGTTTGCCAACATCTGCTTAGAAGGGGCCAGTGGTCTATTCAGCTGGTACAGCCAGGTAGCCAGGACCATTTTCAATTCAAATTCAGAGTGAACCTCAAGATATTCACTCTCACGATCACTCTCACTGTCACTGTAGGAGTTGCAGTTCCCTTTACAGCCGGGAGCTGTTGTGTCAGTGCTGGAAGACTTCCTATTGGCTTTGTAGCCTTGCGAGCCCAACTTTAATTGAGAGCATGCATACCTTCTGGTGATTTGTTGGCCAATCCTGCAAAAATAGTTGTCAGGTGATCATTTCCCAAACAGTGCAATATCAGGAACCCCGTTTGGCCCTGAGACAAATGGAAAGTCCAGCCATTATTCTATAAAACTGAATTAAGCAGTTTTTCAGTTTGATCTTAGTCAACATATTGGTGTTGAATATTGATGAAAGAAGTGTTGGTTCAATATTGATTCCATTAAGTTTTGACAAGTATGTCATCAACTTGATATCTGGCTGTTTTGTTGTTTAAAGTTGTACTTTTGTAACAATGCTCATTACCTGTTATGCCAGCAATTTGATACAATTCTAATTTCACAGGCATAGAAAGGTCACCAAGTCAATAATATGGTCGGGCTGCATCAATGCCAGATGTACACTGTCCACCATCATGGTGCAGACATCAAAAGTAGTGGCCAAGGCTTGCACCTTTGCCTGTGTAACCGGGTGGAAACTAGTAACTCTTGGAAATGAAGCACTGGTCATGCTGGAGCTCCATTTTGAAATATGCAGAACTGGTCAAGCCAGTATGTGTCATTCTCAACTCTTACTGTTTTCTTCAGTGAGCGACCTGGTGTCTCTTGAAATGCTTCCTTTAGCATATTAGCTTGGCCTGAACGCAGCCAGTGTTAGAAAAGTCAGCCTCATGGCCTATCAGCGATGCTCTAAAGGACCAATGTAGGGTTTCACCAAGATGTGCTTTTCAAGAAACAAAATGACTTGAATATGGAGCCGGATGGTGAAGGACTGATCATTCTAGCTCCACACTACAACCACTATATTTACAGGCCTATTACTTGCAGCCCTCATGAGTATATTTTCTATTAAAGTACTGCTTCCTTCATGCCAAAGAAATGCTGCCAGATCCCCCTAAAGTGATATAATTTTTAGTCGGTCATGACCACAGAAGTTGAGGATGGGTTTGACTTCTTGCTTGGAAAGTACATGGTGTCGAAGACTGGCTTATTATTTGCTGCATATTGAGATTTTGACAGGTGTAAAGTGTATGCACTACCTTAAGATCCCAAGAATTAAAATGTAAATTCATTTGCTCATATTACTGTAATGCGACTTTATTGGAAGAACATTTGTTAAGAAAACAGTATTCAACTTAACCTGGAGTAGCAATGCAACTAAATCCCAAATTATTATCAATAGCATTTGACGAGAATGTTAACATTGTGGCAGCTTATCAGTAAGCCTCATTGCCATGAACCGTCTGTGCATGAACAGTCTTCACAGACATATTCTGGATATGTTCAAAGTTGGGAGCAGGCTCATTGAGAATCACAATTAGATGTTCCAGTATTGTTGTCCCAGCAAATTTAAAAGAGATAAAAAAAATTAACCATATCATTGAATGTGGTCCAGTGAAAAAATATAAATAGGCCATAATTTGTTTCTCTATCTTAAGCTCTATTTTCTGTATCTATTTGAGCTCTTTCATGATATTTAAGGAGGCTCATCATAAGTCATATATTGACGAGAACAAGTGAAGTGACCTAGAATTTCTCGAGTTTTATTCATAGCTGCAAAAATAATATTAACGTGTACAAATGGAGAGACTGAAACTTCTGTAAATGCAAAAATAAAATTGAAGAATAAGAACAGAAAAATGCAAAGCAAGCACTGCAATTAGTCAATTCTGCACCTGAAATAGCTCCGGCACAATAGATCCTCTTTTCAGAACATTAACCAAAGATCTCAAGTATAATTTCAAAGAAGAGTAAAGATTTTCTAAGATTTGATATCGTTACAATAAGATCCTACTGACTTTATGTTAATTTTCTGGATTACTGAGCTTTCAATTTTGTGGAAAATCCCATAGGATATATTTGTGGGAGTGACTGACAATTTTTAAAATCTATTTTAGAAAAGAGCTCGGAAGATGAAATGCTGCCTCATTCTGACTGGTGTGATCATTTTGTCTGTCATCATTATCATTATCGTGGTTTCAGTGAAGCACTGAACTTGGCACAATATACCTGCAGGTAATGACTGTTTATTTCATGTAATAACTTACTCAAATGTTCATGTCTGAAGTCAGAACTAATTTTGGGGATGAGTTCAATGATGTTTTGGAACTAGCGATGTCAACTATGGAATTTGTATTGAATTCTTATGTATAAAGAAAATCTCTTCAGTGGAATGTCATTGCAACAAAAAAAATGCTGTTTTTGTGTTATAGTTGAACAATTTATAAGTGAGATATTTCTATTTTTGTTTGGTGCCCTGTGTGTAAATCAGACCTCAGAATGTTACCTAGAATGAGGCATGAGAAGTCAGTCCACGTGCCAACTTTGGGTGGAATTTTATACATGAAATTTGAAAATTAATTATTCACGAACCCCATCATGAAGTTTATTTGTCCTTTGATATACTCACGAACCTCCACTCATCTGGCAATCCCAGAATGAGCCTAATCTGGGGTGGTCTAAGAGGCTGCTGTAACCAGAAACTGCAGGCAGTCTGGTTGAAGTGCAGAAATTGGAGCAGTGATTCCATCAGGGCATTGAAAGTAAGCAGCACAATCATACCAGCTAGGAACAGAATTAAAAACTGAGAGAACTGCGGATGCTGTAAATCAGAAACAGAAACAAAAATTGCTGGTAAAGCTCAGCAGCTCTGGCAGCATCTGTGGTGAGAAACCAGAGTTAACGTTTCAGAGGAAGGGTCACCTGACCTGAAACCTTAACTCTGATTTCTCTCCAAAGATGCTTCCAGACCTGCTGAGCTTTTCCAGAATTTTTTGTTATTGTTTAGGAACAGAAGTAAGACATCTGGTTGCTTAAACTTCATTCACCATTAAATAAGATAATGGCTAATTTGTTCGTCTTATATCTATTCCCGATAATCTTTGATTCCTTTGCCTAACAAGAATCTATCCACCCCTGCCTTAAAAATATTTCATGACCCTTCCTCCACGACCTTCTGAAGCAGAATTCCAACCTAACACAAGCCTCTGAGGGAACTGTTCAACCCCTCATCACTGTCCTAAAAGGGTGATTCTTAATTTTAAAAACAGAGCCGCGTAATTCTGAATTTACACTCAAGGAAAATTCTTTTCCATGTTGCCCCTCGTCAGGGTCAATCAGGATCCTGCACCCTTCAATCAATTCACCCTTCATTCTTCTAAAACCTCAGTGGAAACAGACCAAGCCTGTCCAGCTTATCCTCATAAGGCAACCAGACATAAGACTCATAAGACATTCCAGGTATTGAAATAGGAAACCTCCACTAAACCACATCAAATTCATTTACATCCTTCCTTAAATAAGGAGATGAAAACTACACACGGTATTTGACATTCGGAGTCAAACACTCAGTCTTTTGAGCATTTCCTAATATCCATGGCGGATATCCCTGAATTCTCTTTGTTCCACATCACTTCATGTTCTAACCCAACAGAAGTCCATCCATCTTGGTCTTAAAAATATAAATTGGCCCAGTATGCATAACATTTTGGCAGAGAAAATTCCAGACGTCCATCATGCTTTGTGTAGAAAATTGTTGCCTTGATACTCCTAGATCACCCAACTTTCCTTTGAAAACTGTGCCCTGTTATTCTGGATTCCCCCACCAGAAGAAATTATTTCTATGTATCTGTTAAATTGATTCCCTTTATCATTTTAAAGATGTTGATTCGATCACCTTAAAGCATTCTAAATGCAAAATAATTCAAAGTTTATGTATTCAACATACCCTCATAATTTGATCTATTATGAGTGTATGTAATTCTTCTGGATCTGATGTACACCTATGTGGGATTAACAGAACCGTCCTGTTGTTTGTTGCCCACTGACGCTTAATGAGGTCCAACTAAGACTATGTACAACAAAAGGATAACTCCCTCCCCTTTGCATCCCAGCTGACTTTGATAAATGACAACATTCAATTAGCTGTGTCAATTACTATTTGTACCTGTGCACACTGACCGAATGCTTTCTGAATGTGGACACTTGCCATCTTCTATACATTTGAATATGCAATTTCCCATTCCTTCAAACATGCATATTACTTTTGATTGCCCTCAAGGATCTATCCTTGCCTCTCATGTGTGTTTCTGGCAACACCAGCATTTGTCGTCCATTCCAGATTGACCTTGACCTGTGCCGCTTGCGAGGCAATTCCAGAGGGCATTAAAGGTCAGAGGCTCAGTCTGCAGTCACATGTAGGCCAGACCAGGTAAAGGCAGCGCGTTTTCCTCCCTAAAGCACGTTGTGAACCAAATGAGTTTTTAAAACAATCAATGTTAGTTGTCACAGTCACTAATTTTAAATTCCAGATTTATTGATTGAATTTGAATTCCTCCAGATTCTATGATGGAATTTCAACCCATGTCACCAGTGTGTTTGCCTTGGTCTCTGAGTTAGTAGCCCAGTAATAATATCACTTTGCCACCTGTTCCCCATCTCCCATTTTTGATATGCATGCTACCCCTTGGCAATATCATCTGAAAGCACAGCATTAATATTCTTAGGTGCACTAATGACACCCAGCATTACTCCGCTACTTCTCTCATCTCCTCCACTGTTACTAAAACATCAAAATGCTCAGACAACATTTAGAGACTGGATGAGAAGAAATGCCCAGCTATTAAATATTGGGAAGACTGAAACCTTTGTTTTGGTCCCCACTTGAAACTCCATTCTCAAGGTACCAAATCCATCTTCCTCCTTGGCATCATTCCAAGATTAAGCTATTAATTATAAAATTGTGTTACTTTTGATGCTAAGATGAGCTTCCAACCTCACCCACATCACCTCTAGGACTGCCTATATTCACCTATATAATGTCATTCACCTGTGTCTGACTCAGCTCATTTGCTGCTTGTTAAAATCCACATTCATACCTTTTTTAGCTCTACACTCGATGATTCCAAAATGCACATGACTGGTGTCCCAAATTTGGCCTTCTCTAAGCCCGAGGTCATTGCAAAACCCTCCTGCTTGTTATTGGCGACCAATCCCATACCCATATCCCCATATCCCTATATTGACTCCCATCTTGACTAAAATTCTCACCCATGGTCTCAAATCCCTCCCTATCTATGCAACCTCCTCCAGTGCCACAGTACTCGGAGATATCAATGCTGTTCAATTTCTAGCCTCTTGTGTATCTCCAATTATAGTTATCCCTCCATTGTTGAGGCTCCAGCTCTGAATTCCCTCTCTTTCTTGCATTCCTATTAAAGTCACTCCTTAAAACCTACATCTTTGAGAAAGCTTTGACCTATATTCTCCTAATTTGGATAGGTGTCTGTTTTGTTAATGCTTTTCTGAAGCATGTTAGGATGTTTCATTATGCTGAACGTGCTACGTAAATATAAGTCATTGCTAATACATTGGTTAAAAAAAAAAGCTGTAAGTCCCAGTACAGATTTCACAAGAACAAAATAATACTAGAAACATTCAGCGGGTTGGGTGATATCTGTGGAAGGTGAAATAGTGTAAATGTTTCAAGTCTGTGATTCTTCATCAGAACAGAACTGAAATATTTACTCTGGTTTTTTCTCTCCACAAATGTTGCCCGATCTGCTGAGTATTTTCAACATTTACAGTTTTAATTTCTCATCTTCTGTGGTATTTTACCTTTGTATGATGTTGACTTCATTCATGTCAGTGTTCCCTTTGCCTCTGCTTTCTGCCTTTCAACTTTTAACATGTTACAAATGTTTCAGCGCTGAGTTTAGGTGTGTTATTACACACTTCTGGAGCAGGTGGAACATGAACATTGGACTCCTGGCTAAGAGATAGGGCCACTACTGCACCGCAAGAACCTTTGAAATACATTACTCGGTTGTCTCTAAGTCTGCCTTACTGATAATGAGACAACAATTACAATCAATAAATATATTCTGATGCTCTTTGGTATGTTGACAGTTGTCCAAATTTTCAATCACTATTGTAGGGATAGATTTCAATAACTTCCCTACAATTGTTAAATTAGCAGAGTTATACTTAAATAGTTTATCTCTCCCTCCCAATCTTAAAGACAGGACAATTTGCAAGACAACCTGAAAAGACCAGTTTGGGATTTGAACTCATGCTCTCTGTTATTAGACTAGACCTCTGGATTAATTCAACAACATAACTATGGTGCTGCCAAGTGAGGTTACTTTGCTGGCTGCTACCAACCATAATGTGAACAATTCCAAGTAATCGGAGTGTCAGCAAGCAATCAACTCTCCCAACTCCATGATTTATCTTGTATTTAGTTAGGCCACATTTGGAATTTTGCCTGCAGTTCTGGTCGCCATACTACTAGAAGAATATGGACACTTTGGAGAGTGTGTAACGAGGGTTTACCTAGTTATGAGGAGAGGTTAGATGAACTCAGGTTGTTTTCATTGGAAAGACAGAGGCTGAGGGATGACGTGATTGAGTTCTACCAAATTATGATAAGTATGGTTAGGGTGGATAGTCAGAGATTTTTTCCCAGGGTGAAAAGGTCACCTACAAGAGGGCACAGTTTCAAGGTGAGAGAGGGAAAGTTTTGGAGAGAAGTGCAGAAAAATGTTTTCACATAGAGGGTGGTGAGTGCCTGGAATACACTGCCAGTGGAGGTGGTGGAAGCTCCTTGCAGTGGCATGTTAGCAACATTTAAGGTGTATCTTTTAGACATATGAACGGGAAGTGAACAGAGGTATAGAAACCACACATGGGCAGTAAGTAGTGGGCCTAAATAAGGATTAGAATCATCGCAGGCTTGGTGGGCCAAAGGGCCTGTTCCTGTGCTTTATTGAATTGTGTTATAGTGGTATATATTTTGTTCATGGTCTCTGGCGACCAGGGAGAAGAGACAGAGAGGAATGTGAACAAAGAATGTTTCTTTACTCCGTGACCACCACCCCAAACCTAATCTACTTTGTCCATGGTTTCGAGATTTTGGATTGCTGTGCCAGCAGCAGCCTTGGCCCCTTAAGCGCCACTGTGTTGGCAAAAAGAGACCCTTTCACTGGTTGTTCATTAACCACTTGAGGGCCTCTGTT